AAAATAACTGATCCATGCTCAGCCACTTCAAGAGGCAGCATATGATCAAGAACTATCGGTACTGAAGGAAGAAGTCGAAGCTGCACTGAAGGCATTGGTGAAAAACAAGACTGTAAGAATGGATGGAATACCAACTGAATTGTTTCACTAACTGGAGGCATTCACTGATCTATGCCAAGAAATTTAGAAGATGGATGACCATTTGTAAAGGATCCACATTTGTGCCCATTCCTAAGAAAGGTGAGCCAATGGAATGTGAAAATCATATGCAAGTAAAATTTTGCTGAAGATACTTTAAAAACTGTTGCAGCAGTATATTAGTGGGGAGTTGCCAGAAACTCAAGTTGAGTTCAGAAGAAGACATGGAACGAGGGATATCATTGCTGATATCAGATGGATCTTTTCTGAGAGCAGAAAGTACCAGAAAGACATTTACTTGTGCTTTATTGACTATGCAAAGGCATTAGACTGTATCATAACAAACTATGGATAACATTGCAAAGAATGGGTATTCCAGAACACTTCATTGTGCTCTGGAGGAACTATACATAGACCAAGAGGCAGTTGTTAGAACAGAACAAGGGAATATTGAATGGTTTTAAATCAGACAAAGTTTGTGCCATTGTTGTATCCTTTCACCATCCTTATTCAATCTGCATGCTGAGCACATAATCTGAGAAATTGGATGATATGAAGAACATGGCATCGGGCTTAGAGTAAGACTCCTTAACAACTTGAGATATGCAGTTGACACAATCTTGTTTGCTGAAGTGAACAAAATTTTAAATACTTACTGATGAATATGAAAGATTGCAGTCTTTCATATGGATTGCACATCAACATAAAGAAAACAAAAATCCTCAAAACTGGACCAATAAATAACATCATGATAAATGGAGAAAATACTGATTCTGTCAACGACTAATTTTCTTGGATCCACATCAATCTTGATAAAAGCAGCAGTCAAGAAATCCAAAGATTAATTGCATTTGGCTAATTTGCTGCAAAATATCTCTTTAAAGAACAAAGATGTCAGTTTGCATTAGAATATTGGATAAGTGACTTGGAAAGTCTTTCTGGGAAAAAAAAAATTACTGGGTAAAGATCTGAATGAAGTGAGGGCTAGGAGATATGAGAGGCCATGAAAAAAATTCTATTATCTTTTAATTCCAATTATCTATGAACTTTGTGAAGCCCCTTTGTCAATGTAGAAAGCAGCATTTGTGGTGGATGCAACAGCAACTTCACAGGCTTTAACAAGGAGTGCACCTAGCATCTTAATGGTATAAGAAAGGTAGAGAGAACCAGGAGTTAAAAAAAGAATAGGGGATGAGATCAGAGATATAATAGGAGTATAGATCATATGGAAACGTTTGTTCATAGGACAGACTGACTTTTACTCAAGTATTATGCATAATCATTCCAATTGATCTGGGATAGAGCGGTGTCATGATCTAACATAATACATATTATTAGAATCCAATTTAAAAGATCATGCTGAAATCAGGTAAAAGGCAAAGATATTGACTATTTCTTTTGTTATTTAACTTTGTTATATATATTCTGGTGTTGTACTGTGGGCTAATGTGCTGGACTGCAACCTCAAAGTCGGAGGTTCAAGCTCACCAACCACTCCTTTGAAACCCTATATACGGTCGCTGAGTCAGAACCGACTTGACAGCACTTAACAACAACAATAACAGCATATACATCTGATTCATGATGACAAAAGGAAGTATACCTATGAGAAAGAAAGTAACATAATTGTCAATATTTTCAAATAATATGTGCTTGTATCTAAAAAAACCCAACTATAGCTAATGAAAACTAATAGAAACATTTAGGGAGTCCAGTAAAATGACAGATCTATAATTATAAGATACAGCTTATCTAAACTAAGATTATTATTATAAGACATACTAAGATTGTATTCTATATGTATATTTTAATATCATAAAATATATAGATCATAAAATATACATAGAGAACACACATATATAAGATAAACTAAGATTATTATGATAAGATATGCAAAAATACATCTTAGAATTGATAAACTGCAGCAATATATATGTAGCATGTTCCTGGATGAAAAAATTTCAGTATTTTAAACATGAATTATCACTAAAGTAACCTATTAATCAATGGAGATCCAATCAAATTTCCTTAGGATTTTTTTTTTTTTTTAATTTGACAAATTTATTCTAAAATTTGACTGAAAGAATAGCTAAGAAAAATTAGAAATAAATGAATAATGAAATATAGAACTGAATAAATGGAAAAGAAGGGAGTTCAGAAACAAACCCACATATTTACATAAATTTAGTTATTATGAAACAAAAGTTTTGCATCACTGAGGACAGTGGTTAATAAATGACATTGGAAATTTTTGTTTTTAGTTTAAAAAAAGGTAGATTCCTGCATGAAGCCATTAATAAAAGTAAGTTCCAAATTAATTAAAGAGTTAAATGTTGAAATAAATTCATAAATGGCACTACAAGTCAATGCAAATTAATCTTTTTGTACTCTTAGTGTGGGGAAAGTCTTGGTCTTTTCAAGCACAACACAAATAGAGTCACCTTAAAGGAAAGATTGACAACTTTGACAAGAATACTATTTCAAATTTTGGTATGGCAAAATACTGTGAATTAGGTAGGAAAAGAAGTAGTGAAATAGGAAAATATTTGGGACATACTATATATGGACATCCTTAATACAAACACGTTGTATGTTATCTAGTTGGTTCCAACTCATAGTGACCTTGTATAGGGTTTCTGAGGCTGTAAATCTTTACAAAATATATATTGCAGGATCCTATTAAAATATACATATAGAACACATACACCTATTTATACACACAGAAAAGTTTATAATGATATAACTGAAATTTTCAGTAATAATAGTAAACACTTACATTGCAGTTATCACATGACAGGCATTGTTCTAACCAATCAATGTTCATATATTAACACATTTAAACTACTCAATAGACATTATTATGTATATTTTACAGGAGAGGAAATTAAGACACAGAACAAGTTAAGTGACTGATTTAAGGTCACAAAACAATAATGTAATTTATCAGGCATAGCTGTCTTCACAACAGCTCCATGGCTATTCCTTAGACTGCCCCCACCACCACCAAAAAAACATACACAAATGATAGCACAGATGTATGGGAACAACACCATTAGGGTGAGTGTGAGAGATCCCCTGACTTAGATGGCTGTAAGTGCTATGCAGGAAATCAATATCTCATGTAACATCCTGTGTATATACAAAGATTAGTCAAAAATTATCCACACTCTAGCTGTAAAATGTATTTTAATCAACTTTTAGAAAAGAAAAATACTTAATTTTTGACATAATCTCTGTGCCTTTCAATACATTTTGTCCATTTGTCAACAAGCTTTCATATTCCCTTATTTTTAAAAAATGTTTTGGGCTGAGCTACGAACCACGAATGCACCACTGTCTTCAATTCTTCATCAGAGGTGACTTTTCATCCTCAAAGGGCTATTTTTAGGGAAACTGACAAACAGGTGAAAGTCCAATGAAGTAAGATTAGGACTACAGGGAAGATGCTTTAATATCTCAAAATGACATTTTTTCAGGGTATCAACAATGTGGGCAGAGGAGTGGGGAGGTGCATTGTCATGCAAGATCACAATGCCCTTAGCAGTCTTCTGCGATTAATCCCAAGTTTAGGCTTCAGCTCTTCAGTGAGCATCTCATTGTAATGAGCACTGTTGACTGTTGAACCTTTTTCCTGATATTGTTCCACTACTGTCTCTTGAGAATCCCAGAAAACTGTAAGCATCAAGTTTCCAGCTAATGGTTGACTTAAACTTTTTCTTGTTTGGTGATCACTTTTCTGCCGTTTACTTTCTAGCTCATAGTGATGAATCCATGTCTCATCACCTGTTATTTATTTTTTTTTAAATAAACTTTTACCCTCCTTCCAGAATCAGTCCAAATTTTGTTTATAGGTGTTCAAACATTTTTGTTTATGCTCTTCCATGAGTTAATTCTGTACCCATCTGGTACAAACATTTAGAAGCCCAAGTCTGTCATGGATTTGCAAATGATTTGCCACATACTCCACTGCCACTCATCTATTCGACAGAATCATTTTATGTGCATGCTCAATGTTGACATCAGCCATAGATGTGGTCAGGTGTTTTGATATAACCAGAGTGTGTATAAATTTTGACTCACCCTCGAGAGTGTATGTATATATAAAGTTACTCATAATACTATTATTTAGAATAACAGAATATTGGAAATAATAAAAAAAATATCCCTCAATACAGGACTGGTTTAATTATGGTTCATTCATACAGTGGAATATTATGCAACAATAAAAATAATTGTTGCTGTTGTTAGGTGTCATCGAGTTGGTACCTACTCATAGCAATGCTATGCACAACAGAATGAAACACTGACTGGTCCTGGGCCAACCTCACAATTATTGCTATGCTTGAGCCCATTGATGTTGCCACTGTGCCACTACAGCTCATTGGGGGATTTCCTCTTTTTCTCCAACCCTCCACTTCACAAAAAATGATATTCATGAGGTTTTCAGTGACTATATATTCGGAACTAGTCCGTCTCTCCTTCTTCCTAGTCTATCTTCATCTGGAAGCTCAGCTGAAACCTGTCCACCATGGGTGACACTGCTGGTATTTAAAATCCCTGTGGCATAGCTTTCAGAATCACAGCAACACGCAAGTCACCACATTCCCTTATATATTGGTTTAGGATGATTTCTAAGATGGCAAGGAATATTAAAGAGAGGGACAATATTCTATATGCATCTATAGAATATCCCTCAAAAGCAATCCAAGAAACTAGCAATACTATCTCCAGGTTTATAGATGGAATCATTGACATATTTCTGGTTTGCATTTTTGAACCATGTGAATGTATTCTCTAATGAACAAAATTAATTAGATTAAAATTTTGAGAGGGGGAAAAAAAAAAAGTAAAGTAGAGCTGACCTTTGGGCTCGGTAGATGTATTTAGAGTTTCCCGTGAGCCGGTACAGCAGCAGGAAGACATAGGCACTGCCAGCCACACCATGGCAAATCCCTGGCCCCTTCTTTAACAGGCCCTTCTGCCATGTGAGTTCCCCACACCGGATACATGTGTCCAGGTACTGTGGTTTCTTGGAAACCAGATAAGCTTTGGCAAACAGATAGGCAATTCCTGTGAAAATATCAAAGACATTAGAGGTGACTTTCAGGGCTTAAGACTATGAGTAGTACTTTGGAAACTGTAAAAAACTCACCAATCTCCTGGGTTAATGACAAAATACAGATTCTGATTCAGTAGGTCTGAGACTCTGCATTATGAAAAAGCACCCTTCCAGGGACCATACTTTGAATGTCTATACTACAGAATATTCTACAAGGGAGTACTATATTTTCCCTGTGAGATTTAGTTTTAGTTGTTTTAATTGTACCATGGGCCCCCATAGAAAGAGCAATATTTTAATTGAAGTACATAAATTGATAAAATCCATAATTTACAAATGAGTTAATATTTAATGAGGCATACTCTGATAAGTATTATGCATATCTCGCCATTTGGAAGGGCTTAATGTTTATACAGCTTGCTCATTTCCCACACAGAGGTTCAGCACTTGTAATATTTAAGGGCTTATAACTATCCACCTTTTCTTAAGGGCAAAACCAGGAATTCTTCCAGGAACAGCAATGTTCTTAAATGACCTTGCCAAGACTCCTACTCCAGTTGTGAAGTCCTTCCCAATTTCATTGTTCCAAGGAAAGACATTTTCTTTTTAAACCCATTGAAATAGGTATTATCAATTGCAAAGCCAGGAACAAAAACAAGAAATGCTACAGCTATTAATAGAAATGATTTTCCCCATGCTCCAGGTGATCCTATTCAGGGAAGAGGTTATTAACTTTAGACCACTCACTCTCCTGCATAACTGACCTTTCTCTTATAAGTAAAGAAGCAGGAAAAGCCTGAAATTTACTGAGTATCCTGACTTGCTCGTCCATTTGGGTTATCTCTGCCTGTCAGAGTCTTTCCCTAGACAATTTTACAATAGTGTCATAATGGAAATACCTTATACAAAACTGATTGTAACATACATAATTATTGTCAATAGGAACACACATTCCTTCTGGATTAACTTCCTTCTGTTTCTGTGAAGAAGCCAGTTTTGCATCTATTGTTGTTGTTGTTAAATGCCATCAAGTCGGTTCTGACTCTGAATAGGGTTTCCGAGGCTGTACATCTTTACGGGAGCAGAAAGTCTCATCTGTTTCTCATGAAGCAGCTGGTAGTTTCGAACTGCTGACCTTGAAGTTCACAGCCCAATTCATAAACACTACACTACCAGAGCTCCTTATTAGGCAAATTAATTTCAGCTATCCTTAACTAGTTGCTATGGTGGAGATCTGGAGTTAGAAAACCAAAAGGGAAGAACACACTCAGCATTTTTCAATCTGAAAGAACTGAAGAAAAAATTCAAGCCTCGGCTGGCAGTATTAAAGGGAAAACTAGAGACACTCACTCATCTATGCCAAGAAATTTGCAAGACAACTACCTGGCCAGCTGACTGGAAGAGATCTGTATTTGTGCCCATTCCAAAGAGAGTTGACCCAATGGAATGTGGAAATCATAGGACAATATCATTAATATCCCATGGGAGTAAAGTTTTATTAAAGCTAATACTGAAACAGCCACAACCATACATTGACAGAGAACTTCCAGAAGTTCAAGCCCGTTTTAGAAAGGGTTGTAAAATGAGGGATATCATTTGCTGGCATCAGATGGATCTTGGCTGAAACAAAGAATACCAGAAAGATGTTTAAGTCTTTCGATTGTGTGGATCATGACAAGCTATGGACAACATTGTGAACTATGAGTATTCCGGAACACTTAATTGTGCTTATGAGAAACCTGTACATGGACCAAGAGGTAGTTGTTTGAACAGAACAAGGGAACACTGAATGGTTTACAATTAGGAAAGATGTGTGCCAGGGTTGTTTACTTTCACCATACTTATTCAACCTGTATGCTGAGCAAATAATCCGAGAAGCTGTATTATATGAAGAAAAGGGTGGCATTAGGATTGGAGGAAGACTCATTAACAACCTGAGATATGCATATGATACAACCTTGCTTGCTAAAGGTGAAGAGGACTGAAGATCAAAGCCTTAGGTATGGACTCCACCTCAATGTAAAGAAAACAAAAATCCTCACCACTGGACCAATAAACAACATCCATATAAATGGAGAAAAGACTGAGGTTGTCAATGACTTCATTTAGCTCAGATCAACCACTAACATGGAAGCAGCAATTAAGAAATCAAACTACGTATTGCATTGGGCAAATCTGCTGCACAAATTCTCTTTAAATTGTTGAAGAACAAAGATGTCAATTTGAGGACTAAGGTGCACCTATCCAAGCCATGGTATTTTCAATAACCTTATGTGTATGTGAAAGTTGGATAGTGATTAAGAAGAAGAGCCCCAATATGGTAGATTGGCATAGTGGCAGCAATAGTGGGCTCAGCCATAGCAACAATTGTGAGGTTGGCACAGGACCGGGCCGTGTTCGTTCTGTTGTGCATCGGGTTGCTATGAGTTGGTGCCAACTCAACAGCATCTCATAACAACAACATGATGGAATTCATTCTGAATCATGTCAACCTCAGGTGTTTTAAAGTACCACGGCTCCATAGGGTTTTCAAAGCTGTGACCTTTCAGAAGTAGATTATCAGACCTTTCTTCAATGTGACTCTGGGTGAATTCAAACCACCAACCTGTGAGTTAGTATCCAAGTGTTTAACCATTGCCACCACCCAGGGACTCCTCAGAATTCTTTTTTTGCTGTTGTTAAGTGCCACCGAGTTGGTTCTAACTCATAGTGACTTTGTATAGGGCTTCAAAGGGGTGGCTGGTGGATTTGAACAACCAACTTGTGGTTAGCAGATCAGTACTTATCCTACAGCACCACATCAGGACTCTCAACATTTTTTAAAAATGTTTTATTGTGAATTATGTGATAGTTTACTTGGGTGAACATTAGCTTTACATTAATCCTATCGTATATCGTTTCATTCCCATGGTTACAACCCCTCCATGCATCATCAACTAACCAAAGGGTATACCCTACAAGCCTGCCCCCAGTCCTCAACACATAGACCCTCTCCCTCTCTGGATCTAGCGTCCCCAGCCGCTCCATCTCTCTACGTCATCGTCTCTGCCTCCATCTCTGGCATCACTGCTTCTCTGGGTAGGGTCCCGCTCTCCACTCTTCTCCATTGATGGTCCCAGGGACCTCCACTCCTAAACTGCAAAGTCAATCACTCCCCTTCTTTGGCTACAAAACGTCTACCTTTACATTTCCAGCCCTCACAATCAGTCCTGATAACAATTATTCACTATTGTATCACAAGAGACCTAGCTGCATCTCCTTTAATCAAGTCCCGCCCAGACAGATTGGATACTACTCAGTGGAGATTCTACCTTCCTCCATGCCCTCTGGATCCAGGATCCCTCTTGAAAGCTTATAAGCCAGTCACTTCTTTCCTTTGTAGCGCCCCCCCCCCTCCCCATTTTCGGTAGCTAATGTACTCTCAACATTCTTAATGGCCTATAAATATGTCTGCTCATTGGACTTGCCTTTGAACTGGTTATAACACCTTCCTGGTTCCCTCATTAAATAATGATTTAAATAAAATAACTGACATGTGCTATTTTTATATTTATGAGTCATGATTTTATCATTTTAAAGTCTATTCCTTAACCACTTCATATGATTAATATTATGAGAATGGTGCAGGACTGGGCAGTGTTTCGTTCCGTTGTATGTAAGGTCGTAATGAATTGGAATCAACTCAAGAGCACCTAACAACAACAACAATGATTAACACACACATTAGCAACAGATTCTTTCCTTAGGCCATGCATTCCAGTAAACCATTATCTTTTCCTATAGACTTTCCTCCTCTAATTTTACGAACAAAATATCTACCACAATTTAAAAGAATTGAACTGATTTATTTATGCATCTGCTCATTTGCTGAATCCTTTCATCTGAACGTTTTAATTGAATGGTTGCACATCCCTGAGCAAGATAAGGTTCATGGGTATGTGACTTGAACAGTTAATTCCACAGGGTCTGGTTTTAAGAAGGGCCCACATTGGACCCGGTTCCGTAGTTGCCATCTTGAAATTCTTAGTTAGTTTTCAGCAAGGGACCTGTATTTTAATTTTGCTCTGAGCCTCCCAAATTTTGTAGCCAGTCAAGTCCTGGGTGGTATTTAAAAAAAAAAAAAAGCTAAAAGTGACATTTGCTCTTCAGAAAAGTACCATCTAGAAAGAGAGATAAAAGACAAAAGCACATGTGACTGATCCATAGTAAGACCTGCAGCTCATGATGTTGCTGGGACATAAAAAGAGTGATGCTGTCAATAATACTAGAGGGATCAGAAAGGGGGATGGTCCCTGGGGGAGACAGGGGAAGACTTCAATGGGAATAGGGTTTGTTCTGGATTTAGTAAGATACATAGGAAACACCAAGCCAAAAGACGAGGCACTGAGATCAGCAAGTGCAAAAATTTGCAGCCAAGAAAGACAAGTCACATGGAGGTCAATGGAGCAGTGTTGTAACCAATAGGCTGGTAGGGTGAAAGGGTATGGTTGGTTCAGATAACGGATGGTTTTACAAACCCAGTTAAGCACATCAGACCTTCTTCTGGAAGCTGAAGTGTTTTTGTTGTGGGTGGTTGGATTTTATTTTTGTTTGAATATGTGATTGGTATTACAGCCAAAATGTTCCACAGAGGGTTTGGGAGAGACCTAAAAAAAGGCAATAAAATAGCCATGAGCCAATAATGTTGACAGAAAGATGGAAAAGAGGCTGATGAAAGACATTTCACAGGACTTAGTGACTGTTAAGGTATGAATTGAACATATGCTATATTCCAGAACAGTAGTAGGTGCTAAGGTTTTTTAAAAAGTTCCTGTCTCCAAAGTGTTTACAGCCTAACTAGGGATATGATTATGCTCTGTGAGGGCTAATAGATATTTTGAAAAGTACGTGAGAGAGGATCACACTTGGTGATATGAAAGGTCTATTAGAAGTGTCACCAGACACCATCTAACCTGAATCCTGAAGGACAAGGAAGAGTTAGCCAGGTGTAGCCACTGCTGTTGTGTCTTGC